TTAATTTATATTTAATTAAATTTATACTAAATTTACTAATATATCCTTAAATAGAACCTTATTTAATACACAATCTACTTAGTACTCTAGCCGGGCTGAAAAAAAGTTACAGTCATTTGTAGATTCTACTCTGACCATGTGATGATCTACATAATCCAACCAATCAGCATTCACTATGCTTATTTAAAATTTATAAGATATTTAACCTTTTTTTTAAAACTCAAATGAAGATAACTCACATACTATCTAGTTAAGTTCGATAAAATTTTTTTATTTTAAATCTATAAATACTTAGAATTAAAATAAATAAAGTTCATTGTATTTAGTCAGGTTTTCACCAAGATATCTTTAATTGAATTATCAGCTACCTCTAGTCTTTAAATATATTAATTTCACATGAGTAACCATATTTTATTTATTTTATTCAGCTAAAATATTATATTATTAACATTAATTTTTTTTTTTTAGCTTCTAATCGCTTAATACTAATATCGTATCAGCATTGAATTAAATTCATTATAAAATGAGAATAAATTTCCTATCCTAAATCACGATTATCTTTAAACCTTTAAGCGTTATGATCCCTTTTCCATATATTTTAATAATTATTTAAAATTTCTCTAGAATTGATCCCGAATTAGAGAAAAACTTATATGTGTTTTTTAAATCTTAATTCTAATGTCTATAATTCCCATGAAACAGAAAAGTTTTTGTGAACTAGCAGAGAAACAGTACTTTGTTAAATGGTTAAAGTGAGGAAATGGTAAATTTTAATTGCACAAATTTTATTAATATTTAGAAATATAGCACTAACAAAAAATTTCTTATATACAGTAATTTTGTTTTTGAAAACTAGATTGAAGCTTCGCATTTAATAAAACCCTAAGCAATTAGATTGAATCAGTGGTATCAGAATTTCATTCTTCATATGATACTAAGAGACTATTTACTTTTTTGTTTTACAATTTGATTCCAATTAGCTTCTTTTGGCTTAATTATGGTTAAAGACTAACATTTATGCTATTTTAAATTTCTATGCTGCTTAATTCATTAGTTTGCAAACCAAAGGTTGTTTTTTAAGGTTGGCACAACTTATTTTACATATATAGTTATTTTTAATAACTGACTAAAAGTCTGCATACTCTTTTTTCTTATCTGTATTAGAAATTTATTTCATTATTGAAATAGAATTTGGTAAAATGCCTGTAGAAGCCAACATAAGTAACTATTCCCCAAAAGGAAAATTACTATACTAATATTGTTCTACGTATATTACATAGCTTCTTTTGGCTAATTATAGTTAAAGATTAATAGTCATGTTATTTTAAATTTCTATATCGTTTAATTCATTAGTTCACAAATCAAAGGTTGTTTTTTAAAGTTGGCACAACTTATTATATATATATAGTTATTTTTAATAACTGGCTAAAAGTCTGCATGCTTTTTTTCTTATCTGTATTAGAAATTTATTTTATTATTGAAATAGAATTTGGTAAAATGCCTGCAGAAGCTGACATAAGTAACTATTCCCCAAAAAAAAAATTACTATACTAATGTTGTTCTATATTATACCTAAATTAGCCTTATATATACTTTTTTTTTTTTATCCTTTATTTGGAATATATGTATTTAAAGCCCATTAGGTTCACACGAATATATTTGTGCAATTAAAATCGCGATACTATTAGAGAGGTGTATGAGGAATTATAAATAGGTTATAAAAAAAAGGAAACTTTAAATTGAAGTTAAGAATATAGAATTCAAAGAGTTGAAAAATATTTAAACTGTGCTTTCAACCTCGAGAAAGCTTTAGAATTCGATTAAAGATTCAAATAAAATTTTTCTTATTTATTTTTTAAAATTATTATATATTTTATTTTATTATGCTTATTATGCTGATCCTTCGATAGCTGTTTTTTGAACATAAATTGCTATTATAAAAATAAATACAATAAACTTCTAGTATATAAATCAATATGAGTGAAAGTAACTTGTCTGCCCAAATTTCTGAAACTAAAAAATGTTCTGATTGTCATGTGTCAAAGAAAAGACAAAATTTCTGCAGACTTCGTAATAACAATCCACAATATGAGCATGTGACCTGTAATATGTGCTCAGAAAGACATAGTAAAAAAAGACAGGAAACCAATTCGACTAAGAAAACTAAAGTAGATACAGACCTTAATGTAATAGTTCCGTCCATTAGCACTTCACTTTCTAGAAATAATAATGCTTCAGATTTTCTTCAAGTTGACAATATCATTAATGATAATTTTGAGCAAATATTAGAAGCAATAGAAATAGAAGAGCATAATATTCCAGGTGACGAGAATGACGATAATAATAATTCTAAAGCTCTTTCATACTGCATGGATGAAGTAGAAAGGTTCATTGCCTTACAGTTTTAGAATGCAGAGTCATCTGAAGAGTCCACTAAGTTTGCACTTGAAATCAAATTGGATTCGAAACTTTTAAATAGCGTCGAACTTGATCAAAATATTGAAACTGATCTACTAGACTTGAACAAAATCAAAAATAGCTTTATACAACTAGTCAAAACCCTTATCTTATCATTAGAAACTGGATCTAGATATTATTGGAATATAGTAAAATTAGTTTTAAATTTTAAAAAAAAGAAATTTACAGAATGTGCTACAGCATATTTTTGATGCGCATCGCAAGACAACAGAGGAGGGCAAAGACCAGATAACCAGGAGATCAAAAAGTGAAGTGAAGCTTGTGCAATGATATAATGATTTCCATATAAAGGTAAAATTATTATTAATATGAATGTTCAATTACAATGTGCAAGTGTACAATGTAAACATTTGTGTGCACATGAACAACCATCATACTGGCAAATAGAATTCCCAGAAAAAGCAAAAAAATGGATTCAAGAAAACTACTATTATCACTTAAGGAGCTCAGAGTTATACCTCTATCTTATGGACAATAACCTAATTCATACAATACATATGAAAAAGCAAGTATATTATTGGGCGTCAGTTTATAGCAAGCAAACATATATCACAAACTAAGATAATCAACTTTTGTCATCTAAGACATACCTTGAACAGTCTGAACTCATGGCTAGAGGGTTCAAAATTATCTCTTACTTTGATAATCATTTCATACAGGCTTTGGGATTTATTACTCCACTGTTTAATCGAATTGGTGCACAAAATATAAATGAGATCGTAATAGATTCAACATTTAAAACAAATTAGAAATGATTTGAGCTTTTTGTTGTAAATGCCAATTGTGGTGGGTATGGTATGCCACTAGCATACTTATACTTACTAACATCAAGTAATTTAGAAACAGTACATCACTATTCAAGTGATGGAATCACAACTCGTGTTCAGGTTCTTCAAAGATTCTTCGCAAGTCTTCATCAAGAAAGGTTATTACCTTCATTTGTCTTGTTAAACAAAGATGCTGATGAAATTTCAGTCATTAGTGAAGCCTAGTCGTGGACAACAAATCTTCAACTTTGCTATTGGCATTTGGAAAATGCTATTAATAAATGTTTAAAAGATAAAAAGCCATGGTCAAACACTTATTCTAAGCAAAAGGCATTAGAAGCTCATCAACTATTCGATTTCATAGATCCATTGTGGTTCCAAACTAGTAGCATTAAAACCTTATGTTTAAAAAATGAAGCTAAAGAAATAGTAAATATAATTAAATGTCATGCAAATATGCACCCATTAATTCCAATAGAAAAGAATATTTTCTGGAGTTCAGCTTATATCTATTACAATTGCATAAAAGAGGCCTACCTTTTTTGTTACAATAACAAGATTTGCAAGTTGTGAAGATACTTTTGGGTAAACTGGTACAATCAAAAAGATTGAAAAATGTTTGCCCATTCTGCCTATTCACCAGCTATGCCTTTAGCTCGAACTACAATAATTACAGAAAGTCACTGGAGAGTACTTAAGTACAATTATAAGTACAATTATAATAGGCCCCAGTTAGACCATCTTACCAACATTCTTGCTGAACAGCTAATACCAGACTTCGATCTCAAATTAGCCCAATATAATGCAGTTCAAAATTTTTCATCTTGGTGGCAAGCCTTCAAAAAAGACTGAAACAAGACCATGTCTGCAGATATTGTACCTAATATGGATAAAAGATATCATGTAGATGTGAATAATTGGATATGCTCTTGTCTAGTATATGCAAATAGCCATTATCTTCTTTGCAAACATCTAGTTGCAAAGAAAGGGAAAGAGTTTTGGCCTATATTCAGTAAAACAACAAGATGATATGATTATCCATTCCTTGTTTTTAGCAATAATAAACCTCCAGTAATAACTCAAAGAAATAATCCATAGAAAATGTTTAATATAGCTACTATTGATGAGAACTCTATTACCAGTATTGAGAGTTCTACTTTGGAAAGTCATCACCCACAAGGCTCGCAAGACGTATCAAGAACAGTATTTGAAAAAAAAATAAAGGAAAGGCAAGAAATATACACTCAATATGCAAAGAGGTTTGAGAAGGCGTTAGAATTGTATAAGAAAGAAATGGATAACGATAATTTTATAAAAAATTTTGATATCTTAGTGGGACTATTCATGAAGACTATTGGTGAGTGTAAAGAAGCCTTACAAGCCCGTAAACAACAAGGTACTCAAAGATCAAGCAATAAAAAACTTGCGTTCTGGTTACGTTAGTTTCTAGTAATAAAAAAATCACAAGAAAACCTCTAAGATATAGACAACTACAGTTTATTATATAAAAAATGGTCATGTATAATTAGTAAATTTTTTTTTAAAATAAAATTTTTTTCTTAATAGTTATATATATTTGTAATATGCTACCTTTAAAGTTTTGACAGTATTTGCCTAATCTCAAGCAGAAGTATCTTGCTTAATTAAATGTTACTAATTCAAATCATGCATCGCTATAAAAAAAAAAAAAGTTACTGATCTAAATTGTGTGTCTCTATAAATTTTCAAAAGTACTGATCTGAGTCGTGCATCACTATAAATTTTCAAAAGTAAAAAAATAATAATAATAATAAATAAATAAATAAATAAATAAATAAATAAAACAAGTTACTGTTACTGACCCAAATTGTGCATCTCTATAAATTTCAAAAGAAAAAAAAAAAGTAAGTTACTGATGTCAAAGTAAAAAAAAAATTTGTACGTATAATGTTCTGTTAGTGCTGATTGGCTGAATGTCACATAGTTGACGTAGAATTTACAAATGACCGTAACTTTTTTTCAGCCCAGCTAGGGTACTATAATCTACTCTTCTCCATATTTGGTTTTAATTAATTTTACATAAAAATTATACTTTGTACTAATACTACACTATACTGGTGACTAGTATTTAGTCACACTCACTATTCTAGTTTATTATAAATTATAATTTTGTAATACTTATTACATAAAATTACACAAACCTATTTTAAGCTATATTTTATACTAAAATCTCTGTACTTGCTTACTACCCTTGCAAAATCATATATTTACAACTTTTTTATTTAACAAAATATTTTAAAAATATCTACTCTTATAACAACTAAACCAGACTCCTATAATATGGATTATTATTACTCTAAATACAGAGGCCATTATGGACTTGGTATGAATAAGGAAACTTCTAAATCACTTCATGTTCTTCCACCAGATGTTAATCCTAATCAATATGAAAGTCTTAAGAAAAAATAATATTACTTCAAAATTCTTATTCAACCAACCATTAGCACATATTTATGTAATCAATTTTATACAAATTTTACCTCTTGCTATTACAAAATTACTTAACCTACTACTCTTGGTCTCTCTAATATGCAAACCTTTTCAATTATCTTCACTAAATGCTTTGAAAAAATTAGCAATACTTTATTTGCATTTCCTATTGTTAAATAACTTTCAACTTAACTTCCAAATTCCACTATTCTTTTTTCTTCATTCAATACTAATCCTACACTAACTGCTATTATTCCTCATTCTCAACATGTTCATACATGTGTTTTATGTAATATCAAAAATCTTCTTTGTATTCTTTCTCAAGAAAACAAACATTTACCAGATTATACTATAGCAATTCTTTTTAGAACTTGACTTATTTATTGTAGTTGTACTTACAGAATTATCAATATCAAATTACATTATCTTCCTTAAACTAAACCTCTAACTTAAGAACAAAAGAAAATGGCTCATATATCCAAATTTATTTTACTTAATAAAACTAAAAAATTAAAATTTTTTAAAAAAATTTTATCTAAATTTTCTAAAAAGAATATCAAATCTCAATAACAAAAACATGATATCTCTCAAGATCTTGATTGGTTTAAATTATTTTCAGTTACAAAAAAAATAAAACCCAACTCAAAACTTAACATTCCACTTTCTTAACAATTATTTAAGTTTCTTAAACCTAACTTAATTCAATTTGCACCTGAAAAAATTATTTCTTCTAAAAATCTAGATATTAAATCTATTTTCAAATACTCTTTTAACAACTTATTAAAAAATAAGCAGAATGAAAACCAAAATTCTTAGTGAACTTAGTTCATAAAACTAATCCATCAATTGATATTCAAATTCCAATTTCTACAGAAATTTTAATTAATATCTTAAAACTTATTCTTTCTAAATTTCTTACTATATTTTTTACAAAACTCAACTATAAAAAAATTCTTCAATCTTATTATACTATTCCATTATATATATTTAAAATTAACTTCAAGTTATTATCAATTTTGCATGTTTATATATTTTTCTTAACTCTACTTATAAAACTATTCATGCAAAAAAATTTGTAAAAGATCTAAATTTTCAACTACTTTGTCTCATCTTATATTATAATATTAGTTATAATTTAATTAACAAAGCTTCTTTTTAAATACAAAATAATGAAAAACTAAATGTTAATATTTCTTTTAATATTAATACTGAAAAATTTAAAAACTCTTTTTAAATACCTTCTCTCAAATCACTTAGAGCAATCCTTGAAAATTGGTTTGATAAATTCTTTGAAATTTATAAATGTCATTTTCTAAACATTATCAAAACCAAAGTTCTTAACTTTCTTAAATATCAAACTACAACTAAATATGCTGAAGAGTATAAAAACTACTACCTCAATTCTTTATTATTGAATCTATTACATCTTTTTAAAAATGCATTCTATTAGTTAGAAAACTTGCTCTTTTTTATATTCATATTTGCAAAAACTCTGATGAACATAAATGCATAGTCCTTTTATCTGATACTGAACATTAACTATTATATTATAAAAACTATTTAGTATTGTAGAAACTATTTCAGCATTACAAAAAAGTATTTTAGTATAGATTTTTAATATAAATTTCTAAGTTATTTCTAAAATAACAGATATTTTATATCAAAAAACAATGCCAAAATACTTTTAGCAATACCAAAATACTTTCTACAGCATATATAACTGTATCAGAAGAGTTCACTAGTGCTGAATATGCTAATTTAACAGGTTTAACAGAATTAGCTCTCTTATTTATAAATCTTAAAAACTTAGCAAATTTCAGGATACATGCATAAGTTTAATTGTTATAACAAAATTAAATACTATTTAAAATATAGAACTATATTTGTTAGACTTTTTAGTTTTTAGATACGTACTGCATTATATTTACTAAGAGGTTTATATACTTGTACTTTTATTAAAACTGACTTTAAGAATAATGAAATTCTAATTATAAAAAACATGTATATAGATCTTTATTTCTTTGAATCATATTCATTTTACTATTGATGATAGTGGAAATATAGAATTTTTCACAAGATTTCAAAACTAAATTTATAAAAAAATAGTTTATTTAATAAACATACACAATTTAGTCAAGATTTAAAACTTCTATTGATAAAAGATCTTAGATAGAATATTAAGATAAGATGCTAGAAATTTTGTTAAGGTTTTGTTAACAATATTTTCTACTTTTTTTTATTAAAATCAATAATAATAATTTCTGAATAATACAAAAAATTAATTTATTTTATGTTTTGTTTTTTTGGCCTTCCTTATTTACACTTAATCAGACTAGAATATCAACTTTTTACATAAGTATTAACTATTGCTGCTGTTAGAAAATACTTTTTACAAATAGAGCAGAAAAGTTTTACATAATTATTTATAAAAGAACAGTGTTTGTTATACTCCAGTATTTTATTTTCATCAAAATACTCTAGTAGATGTATTGAATTAACATAATAGCCATCTTTCCTTATTAGAATAAATAAAAGAAAACCATTAGTTGTAACAAGAAGGCTAGCAGCCTTTTTACACTATTTGGATAAACAACATATATTATTATCATATTTTTGATGTCCAAGAAGTATCTACAAATATTTGCATTAAGTTCAATCTATTTTCAAGATACATTATCTGAAAATGGAGTATTTTTTATACCAATATATTTAGTTATGATTGGCTTTCTAAATATATTGTTCCATCTTTACAATTTGCAAAAAATGTTGTCTAAATGCTTAAAATTCTTTTTTGCTAGCTTCATGTTGATGACTTTATCCTGTGAATTAAAGTAAAAGCCATGTTTATTAACACTTAGAGTTATACTTGAAAGTTTTGCTAAAAAAAGAGATCATATCTCTTTTAACAGAATTATATACTGATTGACTTGAAGTAATTAATAAAGTAGACTAATGTTTAGTTAACCAGTTGCTTAATATTTATTAGTAGAATATTAAACTATTTAATCAGATCAAATATATTAAATTACCAAAACTAAAGTAGTTTATATAGTAAAACTAAACTAGTTTAACATTTCTATTTAAGAAACTAACACTTATTACATAAATATAGCTTCTTCAAAGTTAGTTATTTAACAATTACAAATTTTAAAGTAATTATAATATAAACTTTATATAATTGGCTATTTTAAATATTGCAATTATCAAATAATAGATTATTTTTGTATATGTAATTGTCAAATAATTAACTCTGAAAAGGCTATATTTATGTTATAAGTATTAGTTTTATTATAGTTAGCTAATTTTTAATTAAATAATTTTAGTAAATCTAGATTACTAACCTGAAACATGAGTCCTAATAATCAAATAGTCAAGAACAAAGAATCAAAACATGTTGCAATATTGTGTTATATTTTTTAAGTATCAAGAGTTTTCATCTGGCCCTTTATCTACAATAAGGACCCAGATGAGTCTTATTTTATTATTAATCTTTAACATTTTATCAAAGCTGTTATTATTGACTAATAAATATAAATCATTTATATAAGATTCTGAATTTGTTCCTATTTCATATTGTGGACAAATGTATATAAATAGCTGTTCACTACAAAGTTTATCATTTGTGTCACTCAGATCAATTATAAGATAAACAGAGAAAACAAGTTTCTGTTGTAAGCCAACAAAAAAGTCATGGTTTAGAATTATAATTAGCTTATTGAAACTTTGCATAGCTTGAAAAGTCTTTTCAAAAGCAGAAATGCTAAAGAGAACTTTGGCTTTGTTATTTTGTTATATAATCATTAACAAAGCTAGAAAAAAAGAAGCAAATTGTCTTGCTGCCTTTATAAAAGCAAAACAATAATACATATCTTGATATTCTTTCTTTTTATTTTTTAAAACAGATGTAATCTAAACCAGCATCAGTAATAAATAAAAATAAAAAGATATAAACATGTTATTAAAAATTTTAGTTT